GAAAAGAGAGAAAGAGAAAGAAAGGAAAGAAGGAAGGAGGGGAGGTTGTGAATGCAGCTCAGTGCTCTTGGTTCAGTCCTCAGTACCCAAACCTAATAATACATTTTTTTAAAAAATCAAGTCTAGGATCAGGGGTGTAGCTCAGTGATAGAGCATGTGCTTAGCATACCTGAAAGCCCTGGGTTCAGTCCCCAGTACCAAAAACAAATAAGTAAATAAAAATCTAGCCTTCCACCCAGACTCAGGGCTTGTACTTAATAAGGTCCTAGATCAGTGACAGCAAACCTTTTAGAGGTTTCAGTGAATCAAACACCCTGCTGCAGCACATGTTCCATACTTTTGCCACCACTGTCATAGATAGTGATGATGGTTATTTTGTTTTGAGACAGGGTCTTGCTTTGTAGTCCAGGCTGGTTTTGAACTCACTATGTACCCTAGGCTGGCCTCCACAATCCTCCTGCCTCAGCCTCCCAAGTGCTGGGATTATAGGCATGTGCCACCACGCCCAGCTCTAGTCATTATTTCATTGTACAAGCAAGTACTGAGTGCTTGCCCTGTATAGGACTCCATGGCAGGGAAGTAGGCACTCAGATGAGTGAATTGTATTCTGTGGTTAGCGGACACAGTGTGGTAGGTGATTCTTTTGTTGGCTTTTTGTATTGTTTTGTTTTTTTCTTTTTCTTTATGCAGCAACAGGGGTAGGACCTAGGGCCTCATGCTTGCCATGCAAGTGCTCTGCCTCTGATCTACGCCCCTAGCCCCTTTTTGGCCTTTAAAGTAAATACCAGCAAGGTTTCCTGGAGACATGGTTGTACTGTTAGGGAAACTGAACCCAAGACTAGGGTGGAATAACTTAGCGATAGTGTGTGAGCCTGGCACGCGCAAAGCCCTGGGTTCCATCCCCAGCAAGGCGCTCACGTGCCCACACATACAAATGAAAAAAGAAAAAAAAAAAAAAGAAATACAGAGCTCATTCTGGCTCCCAGGGGGAGGGGGCAGGGAGCAGGGGACCTGGTCCCAGCCTTAGAGGACCACATCTTTGGTAGTCCATGCTATAGAGGCTTCTCTTCCTCCCACCTAGGTAACGTGAAGCACCTGATTCTCTTTCTCCACGAGGCTGTCCTGGTGCAGTATGTGGACACGCTCAAACTTGCGGTTCCCTCTCTCATTTACACCTTGCAGAATAACCTCCAGTATGTTGCCATCTCCAACCTGCCAGCTGCCACTTTCCAGGTGAGCCCCAAGCCCAATGTGGACCCAGGGAGGGTGCCTAGCTTGGGGTATAGAGGGTGGGGAGGGAAGAGGCTGCTGACAGCCTCGTTAATTTCAGAACGTCACTGGAACTCCTTTAATCTCGGTTTCCTCATCTGTGAGAACTGTGAATAGAAGTAGTAATACCTGCGCAGGATGGATGCTGGGGGTGATAGAGAGACACCAGGAAGAGCCCTTGGCTGGCCATCAATAAGACTGAACCTGTTCCTGGGCATCTTTGTGAAATGATTAAAGATCCTGGATTCTGGGACTGGGTTGCTGGTTTCAAATCTCAGCTCTGCTTTTTTCCAGCTATGTGACTTTGGGGCAAGTCTCCTAACCTCTCTTAGTTTGTCTGCCTTAGTTTGTCTGTCTGTCTGTCTTGTTTTTTGTTTGTTTTTTGTTTTCTTTCTTTCTGTCTTGTTTTTCTGTTTTATTTTGTTTCAGTACTGGGGATCCAACTCAGGACTTTTCCCTTGCAAGGCAGATGCAGCACCACTGAGCTAAACCCCTGGCCCTGTCTGTCTGTCTGTCTGTCTATCTATCTTTTGCAGTACTAGTACTAGGAATGGAACTCAGGGCCTTGTGCATGCAAGGCGGGCACTCTACCACTGAGTTACAGCCCAGCCCTTTTTACTTTTAAGACAGGATCTTACTAAGTTGCCCAGTCTAGCTTTGACCTGGCTCAGCCTCTTGAGTAGCTGGAGTTACAGATACCACTGCTCGTGGCGTGGTTTGTTGATCTTTAAATTGGGGGTTATTGCTGAATACGGTGGTGTACAACTGTAATCCTAGTCCTCGGGAAGCTGAGGCAGCAGGATTGCTGCAAGTTTGAGGCCAGCCTGAACTCTTCATAGTGAGAGCCTGACTCAAACAACAAAATAAAATTAAATAAATTGGGGGTTCTTGTGGTGTCCTTTTCCTATGGTGGTTGTGAGGATTAAATAAAGTAGTTTACAGATAGTGCTCAGATACCCATTAGCACATACTAAGTACTATATAAATATTTGCTGGCTTTGCTGTAGATGATTCATTTATCTTTTGCAAGGTATTCCACATACATCAGCCTCACAGGGCCAGGGCTCATCCTGGGCAAGTGCCTTGTCCCTGGTCACACAGGAGGAAATGGAATTGGGATGCGGCTTGAAATTTCCTGACACAGCCACCCATCCGTACCCTCTGGAAGGGTCTCTAGAGCCACGTAGTCTCAATTCAGCCAGTGGTGGTTTTATTGTCATCTACCCCACTCTATTCCTCCACTTTGCCGGGGGGGGGCCACAGTGGGTGCTGTCCCGTTGTGCACCTGCCAGTGTCCTGTTGGCCTTCAGCACTTTGCACATGCACTCGCAGGTGACGTACCAGCTGAAGATCCTGACCACAGCACTGTTCTCTGTGCTCATGCTGAACCGCAGCCTATCCCGGCTACAGTGGGCCTCCCTGCTGCTGCTCTTCACTGGCGTCGCCATTGTCCAGGCACAGCAAGCCGGTGGTGGCGGCCCGCGGCCACTGGATCAGAACCCTGGGGCAGGCCTAGCAGCTGTCGTGGCCTCCTGCCTTTCCTCGGGCTTCGCGGGTGTCTACTTTGAGAAGATCCTCAAAGGCAGCTCAGGCTCTGTGTGGCTGCGAAACCTACAACTGGGCCTCTTTGGCACAGCCCTGGGCCTGGTGGGGCTCTGGTGGGCTGAGGGCACCGCTGTGGCCCACCGTGGCTTCTTCTTTGGGTACACACCTGCCGTCTGGGGCGTGGTGCTCAACCAGGCCTTCGGTGGGCTGCTAGTGGCTGTCGTTGTCAAGTATGCTGACAACATTCTTAAGGGTTTTGCCACCTCCCTGTCCATTGTGCTGTCCACTGTGGCCTCCATTCGCCTTTTTGGCTTTCACCTGGACCCATTATTCGCCCTTGGCGCTGGGCTTGTCATCGGTGCCGTCTACCTCTACAGCCTTCCCCGAAGTACGGTCAAAGCCATAGCTTCCACTTCTGCCTCCACTGCTGCCTCCGGGCCCTGCATTCACCAGCAGCCTCCGGGGCAGCCACCGCCGCCGCAGCTATCCTCCCACCGTGGAGACCTCATCACGGAGCCCTTCCTGCCAAAGTCAGTGCTGGTAAAATGAGGGCTAGCGGCAGTGGGGGCAGACAGGGAGGGGGATGGGGTGAGGGCGTTGGGCATCTGCAGGACCTGAGTCGTCGCTGGGACCTGGCTCCTCTGGAGTTGGAAGATGGTCTTTTCTTCCAGGCCATTGAGACTTCTGGAGGGGTGTGGGACCAGGGCCAAAGACACTGAACCCCTTCCCCTGGAAAGGGTTTTTAGAGCTGCTCCTCTGCTGCAGTTGAACCTCTCTGGGGACAGGGTTAGGGGTACTGTCATTCAAGGCCTTGTCTGCGCACCCCCATGTGCGGGAGGTGTCCTGTCTCTAATGCCTGGGACAGTCCCTCCTAGCTATCCTTCCACTTCGGTAAGGACAGACTGGACAAGTCTGCAGCTCTTCAGTAATGACTCATGTCTCCCTGTGGGGTTCAGCTTCCTATCATTTAAGGCCTTTACTCCTCCCTCACCATTACCTGGATCATGTTAACAGCTCAGTCTCTCATGCAGCCTTGGGGCAGCTTCCCTGACACAGGCTCTTGGAGCAAGGCCCTTGAATCTGGGACTGTAGAGAGCACCCTGGGGGAGGAGGCTTGAGCTGAGTTTCCCTGAGCCCTTCTGGGGGGAGGGTGCAGTAAGGGCCATTTTTGTTTTGATGGTTTGGGGATTTGTTGCATAATCCAATCACTGATGATCCATTGTATGGGGGAAATGGGGAGGGGTGATTCTTGAAGTGGCTGAATCTCATTCGGTTTAAGACTGGCAGTTGCCAGATGCAGGGTTACTGAGACGTCCAGAGAGGAAAAATAAAGCTGCCAATCCCACTCTTGCTACCCCAATTGGCTGTACAGGGCACTCTTACTTCATGAAGAAGGGGTGTCTTAGAGTTGATGAACTGTGGAACCTGCCCCCTGCACTCCTCAAAGCTTATTAACCCTTAACTGTGTCCCAGAGTGCGTGTGCGCAACCGTGTGTCTGCCTACGCATGCGTGTGCGTGCGTGTGCATGGGAAGATGCCTGGACTGTCTTTGCTATATGTAAATAGGGCCATTGGATCTTTATTTTTTGATTAATTTGTTCTGATTTTTTGGTTGGTTTTCTAAGGAACTGTAATGAACAAATGTCAGGATACCCAATGCCAAATAAAGATGTTGTATTTATTTAGTCCATGTGTAGCTTTCTGACCCAGGGGCCGCGCTCTCCGCATAAGCATCGCTACTAACCCAGGACTACCAGCCTTACTACCACTGCCCTCGCTTGCTCAGGAAGCCCTCCTGCCAGCCTACCCCAGCTTTCTGTGTTTCTCTTTCCTTCCATTCCCACCACAGGTTGCTCACCAAGGTGAAGGGTTCGTAGTCGCCGGGAATGAAGACATTGGCCTGGCCTCATTCTCCTTCCTTGCCCTGGCCCAGCGGGGACCAAACTCTCCTGATCAGTATTAGGGGGAGGGGGAGGTAGACACAGAACTTCTTGTCCCTACCACTCCCGCCCTTGTGAAGGGCTGAGCTAAGCACTCTCTCTGTTAATGATCCACCTCTGCTCTAAGCCCCTGACACCCCTGAAGTATTCCTTAGGTGAGTTTCTGCAAATAAAATGTGTTTTGCATCTTGCCAGCTTGGGTTAGGAAGCCCAGAAAGAGCAAGGGAAGCATTCAAGCCTTGTGGATATGATTGCAGGAAAGCTTTTATTAAAAACTCCACAGAGAGCCGGGCGTGGTGGTGCATGCCTGTAATCCCAGCACGGGCTACACAGTGAGTTCCAGGTCAGTCTCAACTACATAGTGAGACCCTGTCTCAAAAAAACAAACTAAACTTCCAGGGAAACGGGTATGGCTCACTGGACTGGTAAGAGTACTTGCTTAGCATGCATGAGGTCCTGGGTTCTATTCCAGCACCACAAAAAGGGGTAAAAAGAAGGAAGAGAAAGAAAGCTCTCAGGGCTGAGGAGAACAAAGTTTCAGTCTTGCTGTTTGGTTCGCGAGGCCTCAGCATTGGCTCGAAGCACAGCCCCTGGGGATGGGTATGGACGCTGCTGGAAGAGGGGCCCAGCTGCTGTGGTGTCAGCACCTGTCTTGGCTTCATTCCGCTTGGGGAGTCCTGTTGACCACGTGCCCCTGGGGGTGACAAAGGGTCAGGGTGAGAGGAGGGAGTATGGCGGTCACCCTTCACCCACCCAAGACTCAGGAATGGAGGAAGGAGATGGCAAGGAGGATGGTGTTCTCAGGTGCAGTGAGTCAGGAGGAAAGAAAAAGGCTCATGAGAGGTTATCACTTACCGGGGGGCATCTGAGTAGGAGCTGGGGTCCATGGGGTCTAATTCTTCATCCTTTCGGCTCGCAACTATGGAAGTAAGTGGCAGGGCAAGTTCTTCAATCAAGGCAGAAGGAGCCCCTGGTCCCCGAGCACCCCATCCCAGGAAGAAACGGAGCCTGCAGCTGCCATGGCTGGCGGTACCCTTCAGGACCCAGGTTCGGGCATGATTCTGAGAGAAGACCTCTTATCGCACATCCTGGCACTTTGCCTGCCTCGCCCAAGCCCCAGCCTGCTCCACTTACCTTTCTTGCTCTTGGGGTAGGGAGCCAGCTCCTCCCGACGATGGTGTCGTCGTTCTTTGCCCTCTTCTCGGTCTGCCTTGTCATACCCACGATCCCGATCCCTTTCCCTGTCCCGCTCTCGCTCTCTGTCCACTTTGTCATAGCCACGCTCTCGATCTCTGTCAGATTTGTCATGGTTCCGGTCTGGCTTCTCATGGTTGCGGTCAGACTTCTCGTGGCCCCTGTCCAACTTCTCGTGGCCCCTGTCCAACTTCTCGTGGCTCCGGTCCAACTTCTCCTCAGCATCTAAGGGGACAAGAAGGTCCTGAAGTGGCCTCCTCCCACCCCAGGACCCAGCAGCCTCTGCTTTCAACAGCCTCATTAGTCTGAACGTGGTCCTACCTGGTCTCACCTGTCCTAGAATTGACTTGGCCTCTCTCTAAGAACTGCTGCAATCATTTAAGGTCACCTCAGATCTGCCAACTCACCTGTGTTACTGCTCCTGAGCTTCTTTGCAGATTTGGTAACGATGGAGTTGGGGTCATGTGGGGAGAGCCAGGATACGAGGTCTGAGTCCACATTCCAGTAGTAAGGAAGCCCGCTGTGGGTCAATGAGAGGGATGGAGTACCAGCACAGACGGCCTCTCCTGGTATCAGTTCTTGTCTCCCCAATCTCTGCCTATACCTGCCCTGTGTCAGAACCTCCATATCTCTTCCCCGTGTCCCCTATATACCCTACAGCTAAGGACAACACAGGAAGGGCAAAGTCAGAAGTCAGTTGCCCCCGTCCCGGTCCCCAGCTCACCAGGAAGGGTCAAACACTTTGTACCAGCTTGGTGGCAGGCCTTCCAACCGAGTAGCCTCATAGTCCACAGGATCATCATCATAGTCCTCAGCAATGATCTCTTCCTCTGGTTCTGGCAGAACAAGAAAGAGGACAGCAGTTAAAAGATCAGGAAAGCCTAGGCTACATAGTGAGTTCCAGGTCAGTCTCAACTACACAGTGAGACCCTGTCTCAAAAAAAAAAAAAAAA